CTTTTAAGATTTCTTATGTACCTCGAGCTTTAAATGCAGTGTCTGACCATTTAGCTAAGACTGCCCGATCATTTTATCGGGATCTCATGTATGTTGGTTGTTCTATTCCGGTCTGGATTCCCAAACCACCTCAAACTTGAGTAATAGATCAGCCTTTCGTTGTCAAAAAAAAAAAAAAAAAAAAAAAACTCTTTCACTCATAAAGCTATAAAAATGAACTTCTCCTTGATACCAAAGAGAGATCTCTGAAACTTCATCAAGATTATCACCGACCAAAGAGGAAAAAACATAATTTTCATCCTTTGACCACATATAAAAAATATGACTTTCATCCGCTGCAAGTTTTGGTCTCATCGTAAGTGCAAGGCTTGTTCTTTGTGCTGAATCCCTCCACAGAGCCGAGGAAAACAAAGAGTATAGCAGCAAAGATAACCATGAAGACACCAACGTATATGTACTCCATGAATAGGAATGGATTTGCACATGTTCCCAAAGACACAATCTGAATTCAAAGTTATTCACTTTTATAAGATGAAGAAGAAACAGAGAACAGAGACGACGGATTTTAACCTCTGAAAAAAATAAGAAATCACCATTGAAAAGAAGAAGAAGCTCTCCCTTGAGAAGACGGAGAAGAGCGTAAAAATTAGGTTAGCTGCATTTTTCCCTTTTCTTATTTTATGTTTCCTTTTTAATTATAAAATTACTTTAACAAAACAATTAATAAATATTATTTATTTTAATTACATTTAATTTTGATTAATTTAAGGGCATAATCGTATTAATAATAAATAAAATCCTAATGAGACAAAAACAATTATGTAAAATCCTAAATCCAAGTTTTAAATGTCTCTTTTAGCCCATTTTCCAAAAAAAATTATTACCACAAACATGATATCATTTCAAATTTACCTTAAAATGATGATCATTTTTATAAACATCCTAAATTTGGAATGAAAAAGACTAAACTAATTCTCCTAAATCATTTAAATATTTAAGTATCATTTATAAAAGTTTATACTTGAACATTAACTCATAAACAATAATCACTAAACTCTAAATCCAAATGTTGGAGTATCTTTTCTTAAATGTAAGTTTTGAAAAGTAATAGCCAACTTATGGTATTTCAAGCAATTTCTCTTTCTTTTTTTTTCCATCTCCATATATTTTAACGCTCGGTAGAGAGTATCTTCCAAAGTAGTTGGTGTAGGACCGCGAAAATCCTGATTGAAAATCACGAAATAGAAATCGTATAACGATAAGATGAGACGGAAAAAACGTTTAAGAAATCGTTAAGAAAATAGATTAATTCGTGGAGTCGAGATTTGATCTCTTTCCTTAACTCAATAAATCGCCCGTAATGTGAGACTATTTAGATGCGATTTTTAATCCATGATACAACCACGATGAGACTGTTTCGCTGCATCCGAAAACAAAATCTACGAACTAACTAATACGCTATACTCTCGAAACTTACTTAAGAAAACTCAGGTTTTTGCTGGAACTGTTTGTTGTGTGTTTTTCGGTCTAATCAACAATGAAGAGGTTAAGCGTCTATTTATATAGAGAGATTCGCCTAAGATAAAGAATATTCGTAGAATTACTCCGGAATATTCCTGGAATTAATCCGACATATTTCTAGAATTATTCCGGCATATTCCTGAAATTATTCTTGCATATTCATGGAATTATTCTTTTTACACTTGCAGTTCAAATGAACGACTTTTTATTTAGAGCCCAAAAGACATTTGATCCATATTTCTCTTCACATTACAACTTAAATTTACACAGCCCAATGGCTTAAAAATTTGGATTCCAACAGTTGGTTTGTTAAATAAAATTTCTTCGCGAAAGCATGACTCGTGCCATAAGATATTATGTAGTGCGGATATGCTTGCATTGTTGCTTACGATGATATTGGAGAGGACATTCTTGAACACGCTGATGAAAGAGCAGAGTGAACCCTCTTTCTTTTGGTACACTGTCCACATATCAGGATCAGAAGATCATTTCTCCATGAACATAGTGAAATGCTTCATGAATACAAATCATAGATGGCTGAAATTATTGATAGTATTGGCTTCCAATCGGGAAAACCAATTCAGACATGTCATTGCCTGAATTTTTACGAAGAATGGGTAGTAACCGACGTCTCATTCTCCATCATCGAAACGAATATGCCCCATTACGATGTCGAAAGGGGTCATATGAACTCAGGAATATATTTTTCCATCATACAAAGGGATCTTGAGCATGATGTTTGGATGGGGATACTGATGATGCGGTATGTGAGTGATGTCTTTTGCGTTTCTTTGATTACTCTGTCTACTTTAGAAGCCGAGTTTGTAGGTTGATGTCATTATTAAAATCAGCTACATTCTTATGTGGAAAACCAAGGAAAAAGTTCCTCAGAACAACTGCAAATGATATAAATATATGAAAAAAATATTAGATTCAAAAGCACCACATGCTTTTCAAAAACGTTAATCTGTTGATTAGGATCTCTTTATACAAACTAATTAACTAACAAAACGTATAACCACATATAGAAGACTAAAAAGGTAAAACCTTATGAAATAATTCAAAGTTATATATTTACACCGTATAAAAAAAATAAATCATAAATTTTACTAAAATTAATTTACTGATTTTGTATTTTTCAAATCGCTGAAAATTTTGAAAATGTTGATAAATTCACCTAGTTGTATACATTTCTGCTGACCGATATAAATATTAATGGACCGCTTCGTGAACAGATGTAAGATTATTTTTATAAAGACCTAGTACATATATCTGAATTTCATTATTGAAATCAGTTTTGTACCATTTGGTTGAAAAAGATGATATCACTATTACTAACCTAATTTATCTAATACTATTTTAACAGTGCAATCGTTTTTTTACCGATATATCTTCGATAACATGAATGGCATATGAAGGTCGAGAAAATATTTCATGTGAGTAACACCTTTTTTGTTGAAAGCATATAACAGTATTTTTTTTAACTTCATATAACAGTATATTTTTACTTATGTTATTAACTGTAGGGGGCGATTTAATTGATTGCGTTTATTTTATAACGATAAAGAATTGAGACAATATTTGTTGTGTTTTACAATTTTTTGGTTCGTGTAATTCAGTGTAGTGGAAGGCATAAATGGAGTAGGCATACTGGCATAGTATAGTCAGATATTAAATTAAAATTAAGTTTCTAACATCAATTAGAATAATCATAGCAAATATTAAATGATGCAAGTAGTATTAATGCAAATATTGACATCAATTAGAATAAGCCTTTCGTTCTTTTCTGGCTGACCTAGTTTAATCTCTTCTCCTCTCCAACCATTCATGTCCAAACAATCAAATTCATCAAAAATATATGCATCTCTTTTTTCTAAAAGATTTTTCTTTTCTTTCTAGAGCTACTTTGGTTGCTGAGTTAAAGTGGCTATAGATTAACTCCTTCTCACGACATCTCCTCTTGTCTAACCCATACATCTTGCTACCTGAAAAACACTTAAGCAAACTAATTAAAGAAAAAAAGATATATATCTTCCTCTCGGTTTGTAAGTAGTCACTCAAGTTTCCTTGTTTTTCTCTAGAGGTGTAGCCTTGAACAAGATTCCAAGCACTTTAGATTTAGAAATCCTAACCAAAAACAGAAAGAAGATAGGTAGACTGAAAGATTTTTGGTGTCAAACAGATTGACCTATCCTAGTGTAATTTCTCCTAGGTTTTTTCTTCGTTTTTCGTTTTTTGGATCGTATTATCTTTTTTCTTCTCATTTTTTGTTTGTTTGTTTTTCTGATCTTTCTTTCTCATTTGATACAAACAATGTCTCGGTTTAGCTTTTTGATGGTTTAAATTTTAGTTATTAATTAAGCTATTAAAATCAATAATATTATATTTCTTAAATATCTGTGGCACGATACTTACCGTTAAGAGCACTCTTAGAGTTAATAACTAACAAAAAAGTAGTTTATTACTAGTACATATAAACTTAAAACAATTAATCGTCTTGTATGCGACAATATTATATTATCTTCTATGTTATTTATGTTTTTTGTTTCTGTTCTATTCTGATCATCACTAGATAATCCTATCCTATTATTTGTAAAATGATTTTTCGCATTCGAGCTATCACTTAAAAATTAGAGCGGTTAATATCAATATTACTCTTAATGAAATTTTATATATAACTTATTATATAGTTAAAATTAAAAATGATCTAACAGTTAATAATATTAGATTTCTATATTATATTGGGTAATTATAAATTAATAAAATAAAATTATATAATATACATATTATTTTTAAAATATAATTCTTACATATGCTTAGTTGTTATCTGAAATTATTTTTCAACATAAACAAATTAAGAAATAGAAAGATATATAAACAAAAATTGAAATTTGTAAATTTTAATAAGTTATTTGTAAATAATTTTCACATTTTAATAGTAAATGTAATAATAAATATTTGTAATATGATTATGGCCGCATGAGCGGGCAAAACACATAGTTAACGTTAAAAAGGAACCCAACAACATACCCTCATTCCCTCAATAGAGGAATTATACTCATTCCCTTATCGTTCTTGGTCAACTAATGCATGAACCAAATATACCCAACAAATAGAGAAACAAATGAATGCATGAACTAAAAGATATCATATCATTTCTTTCTATTTTGGAAAGTTTTTTATACCCAACAAATAGAGAAACAAATGAAAGCATGAACTAAAAGATAACATATCATTTCTTTCCATTTGGAAAATTTATGAGTATTTGTTGATCTAAACGTGGAAGTCTCTAAGCTTCCGGGTTTGATTCTTTCTCCCCCTTTTTCGTGAAATTGGATTGGAATCTGGAGATCTAGATCTTGAAAGATGGAAACTTTTCGTGTTCTTGATGACTAATTCAATTAGGGTATTGATCGAATCTCAAAATTTTATCCATTTCTCATCAAAGACTTTATCTGATTCCCCCTAACATCAAAGACATGGTGGAAGATCGATCACAAGATTCGTGTTTGAGTACAAGGGTTTTGTCTGAATCAACATGGTCCAAATCTTGCTTGTATCAAGAGGATAATGATGATAAGGTCACCAATGGCAAAAGCGCTTTAGAGGTTGTTGGTGGTGAGATCATTAGACCCACCAAGTCACTTAAACTAATGCGCTTCTCGATTGTGTACGATAGTGATTCTTCTGACTATTCATTGAGTGGTGAACATGCTGCATATGGAACGCGTCAGGAGCAAGAACAGTCTGATTCTAACAACAACAACAACAACGGTGGAGATTGTCATTCTCTTTTCAACGTGATTGGTCGTGAAAATTCTATAGACGGTCTGCTCCGCTGCTCCAGGTTTGATTATGGTTCCATTGCTTCCGTGAACCGGAATTTTTGCTCTTTGGTGAAGAGTGAAGATATCTATAAGCTAAGGAGACAGAACAGGTTTGTGGAGCATTGGGTTTACTTCTCTTGCCAGCTTTTGGAATGGGTTGTGTTTGATCCTGTAGAGAGAAGGTGGATGCAGCTGCCAACAATGCCTCCGAGTGTCACCTTCAAGTATGCAGATAAGGAGTCTATAGCCGTTGGGACGGATCTTCTCGTCTTAGGGAAAGAAAAATTGTCTCATATTATATACAGATATAGCCTTTTAACAAATTATTGGTCTTCTGGTATGGAGATGAATGCTCCGAGGTGTTGGTTTGGATCCGTGAGTCTCGGAGAGATTGCTATATTCGCTGAGATGTATAACTCTGAGCTTCAGACTTGGACGACTCTTCCGAGGATGAACAAGCCGAGGAAGATATGTTCAGGTGTTTATATGGACGGGAAGTTCTATGTCATTGGTGATATCGGTGGTGCTGATTCCAAACTCTTAACCTGTGGGGAAGAGTATGTCTTAGAGACCAGGAAATGGACTCATATCCCTGACTTGTCGCCTCCAAGAAGCCGTACTGATGCGTCATCAGCGAATGGCGCACCTTCTATTGTTGCTGTTGTGAATAACCAACTATATGCTGCTGATCACGCCGACATGGAAGTGAGGAAGTATGACAAGGAGGAGAAGAGATGGTTTACTGTTGGGAGATTGCCTGAGAGAGCTGGCTTGGTTAACGGATGGGGGCTTGCTTTTAGAGCTTGTGGGGAGAGGTTGATTGTTATAGGTGGACCCAGGAGCTCAGGAGGTGGTGGGTTTATAGAGCTAAACTCTTGGATACCTAGCAACGGTGGTCCGCCGCAGTGGACATTGCTTGCTAGGATACATTCTCATAACTTTGCGTACAATTGTGCAGTGATGGGTTGTTGAAACAACTCACATTTGATAGTACTCTCCATTTGACAGACCCTCCAGATTGTTGATGGGTCTAAAGACTCCACTGAAGGTTCCAGGCTCCAACCTTTATGCTTCTTCTTGTTCCATATTTGTTTTTCTTACAAAAAAGTTCAATTTGAATACAATTCATCTGTATTGTTAGAGACAAGTCCCAAAAAAGGAAGGAAAAAAAAGTGAAACAGGTTATAATAAGTTGGCTAAAAGGTTGAAAGCTTCTTAGAGGTTGCCAGATGTGGTTAACATTGTTGTATGTGTTTTGTTTTAATCTATTTGTTTTTTCTATTTTTCTTCCTCATTTCTTTTCTAATTATTATAATAAATAGAGACTCTATTGGTTTGATCTTTGTATGATCTTGTTGATCGTTTGATTCGTTTCCAAGCTAGAAAGACTATGAACAATTTGTTTTCCCAATTCATTGATCCATCCGCTACATTTGGGGGAGGCTCGTGCTCCCAATCCAGTATCAGATCACCGGGAATAAACCTCCGGTGTAGTTACACTTTGCTAATCTCCTGATCTTTGTTACAGATTTACAAAGTACGATATAAGTTAGTTTTGTATTTGACTAAAATGTTAAAAGGCTCAAAAAAATAATTATAGTGTGATTTCATGTGATGTCTACTATTAATCAATTGAAATTTTTGTCAAACAAAAAACTAACATGCTGGGTTTGTGAGTTGACTTTTGATGAATTTTATACAATTATTGAAAGTAAAACTTGCTTAGTTGCAAAACTGATCTCATTAAAAAACTAAAAAAAGTGTATATTGCAGATGAAGTGTGCCATTGAAACCTAAAGAGTACACTTTTCCGAAAGTCTACAACTGTATTATAGAATTCACATGTCTACATGTTATAGACTTCACATGGAGTATACGTCAAAACAATTATGAAAAGTGCATTTGTTTATTATTCATCATGTTTTTACGATTTTATTGTCTTACGGTGTGTGTGTTAATCAATCCTAATATTATGAATGCATTTCAAAAGTTATATGTGTTATAGTTATGTAACTACCAAATTTTTTGTTTGGTTAGGTTATTAACTAATAAGTATAAACTTCTTTAAAAAATCTACTTATGTTACTTTATCAAGCATAAAATATCTGTTTGCTAATTTTGTTTACTGTGATTTATTTAGCAGAGAATGAATCCTAATGGTTTGAATGAATTTCAAAAGATTTAATGTTTTATAATTATGCAACTATCAAATTAATTGTTTGATTATGTTGTTAACTAATAAATGTATATATACTTCTTTAGAAGTGTCCTTCTATATTCTTATCAAACACGAAATACTCTTGAGACTTTTTAGAAATATTTGTGATTACTTATTATTTTTGCTTATGAGTGACTTTGATATATTTATGTATTATAATAAAGATGAATTCACTTTTTCGTTGATTAGAGTATATGTTGTACTAAATATGATGCCTACAAAAATTAATAATATCATACAAATGAAACACAACTAAAGGAATACTTTTTAAGTAATCTGCATCAAAATAGTAATTTACAAATAAATACTTTATAATTATAAAATTTATTACAAAGAACAAGTTATAAGATTCTTCTACACCATATTATGAAAAGTACATTACACATAAGACAAAAGTTCATTAAAGGTCTACTAGATTTAACTTTTAGGAAGATTTCAACAGAAGTTTACTGTATCAGAAAACTAACAGATCTAAAAATATGTACAAAACGTGAAAACTTTAAATCGAGAAGCATTCAAAAATAGAATTTATAAGATAAAATAATAAAAAAAAACACAAATAGTTTAAATCTATACTTTATTTGAGTATAAACACAAAATAATTAATTAAATGTATTGGTCTAAATCTGACATTTTTGGGAAGAGGAGATGAAAACTATATAAAGAATACCTGCAAAATAAGATTAAATTATGAAAAATATATCAGACACAAAATTTAAAATCATGATTTAGTAAACTTCTGATGAAGTCAGCTTAAAATGTATGGTTTATTTGAAGTTTACTAGTCTTAATTTTTAAGCAGAACGCATCAAAAACTCAGAAGTTTACTGTATTGAGAAATTTCATATCTGAAAATATGTAAATTTGAAAGCTAAAAATAGTTTTAACTTTAAAAAAAAATTCAAAATTTGAATTATAAGATAGAATTGTAGTAAAGAAAACATATAGAATTTGAATATATAACTTTATTTGAATAGAAACACAAATACACATTTAAAATATATAGATCTAATCTTACATTTTAACATCTGGGAGTTGAAATTATGAATGAGAATACCTACGAAAACGAGATAATATTTTGAGAAAGACATGAATATTTTTTACAAAAAAAATAAACTAAAGCTTTCCTTCAAATTCAAAGAGATTAGAGAGGAGTGAGAGAGTTTAGATAGAAATTAGAGATTTTTAGATAAACGGAAAAAAAATTTAGAAACTTGTGCAACCATTATAGAAAGAGTGTGTGTAAACTTATTTTATATAAGGAGACAAAATTGTAATTAGTTCAAATTTACAACAAAGTAACTTATTTTGTAAGAGAAATTGCACCCTATAGACATTAAAAAAACATAAATTCACTAAATAGCTAAAATTCAATTCTCTCTCCTACTTTCTCTTCCTATCTCTCTCTACTCTCTCTCCTAAAAATCTAATTTTCTTTTTTTTCTTGGTTATATAACAAATAAGCCCATTTTGTAATCTGTTATCTTTAAAATTATGGAGTTGACTTTGTTTGAAGTTTAATTAGTAGAATTCGTTGGAAGTCTAATTAATATACTTTATTGAAAGCCTACCGCAAACATTTATGATATTTTAAAATAAAGTCAGCTTAAGAAGACAAATGTTATTTGGTATTTTTTTAATGTCGACATCCATTTTCCTATTATTAGGTAATACACAGAATTGTTTTTATATATTATAATTTTCCTTTAATTTATCTTTGAAGTTTCGAATATTTTTTTATGGATTTGATTATTGTGGGATTATATTAAGGGTGGTTAATTTTTCTACAGCCTTTGAATAGTTTTCAAGTATACATGAGTATAAGGTTTAATTAAGGAGGCAAAATTTAATTATACCTTTTGCTTTGTAAATATATAAATATAATTAAATATTTAAATAAAACTTTAAAAATAAAAAAGTAGAAATTTTTTTTATGGTTTGAAAATTATACATTTTTAAATTTGGATTTTTTATAAATTATTTTGAATTTTCTAAAAAAAATTTCCAAATTTTCTTTTTCAAATTCAGAAATTCTTTTAAAACTTTTTTAAAATTTTAGTTTACTTTTAAGTATAATTTATATATATATATATATATATATATATATATATATATATATATTAAAATTCTAAACCATATCTTCCAACATCCCATCCCTCAAATATCAATAATAAATATGGCGGTGGAACTTCTGTTTGGCAAAGCTTACACTTTTAGCAACTACTGTATTAGTTTTTTTTACTTTTCAGAATTATGTTTTAAAAATATGCAATCATCATTTTACTTCCGCTTCTAAAGATATCCCTTGGATTGTGAAAGCAGTCTTATTATAGTATTTTATAATTGAAAAGAGACCATGTTTAAATAAAAAAAAATTAAGTGAGAAAGGTTCTTGAGAATGTTTTTTTTTTGGTCTAAATGTTACAATGTGAAAACTTGATTAAATTGTTTAACTGATGTTGGCTCGACTAATATAAATTTCAATCAAATTATCTTTGTAACTTAACAAAAGTATTTTGCTGGTATATAACAATAGTATTTTGCTGGTAAAAACAGTGTGATTTACCAACAAAAAGAGAAAACAGTCTTATTATACTTTTTTTTAACTAATATGTTAATCTTTTTTTTTTAAATGGACAGTTGTATTGTTTTGCTAATTCTTACAGAATATTTTTGTAGTTTAAGAATTTTGCTATAAATTTAAAATATGACTTTCCAAGATTAGAGTTTTTGCACAAATGTTTTGTTATTATAAATTAGGTTCAAAATCTGTGAAACAAAAAAATGAGTAACACAACTAACACCATAAACATGTGTAATGTAGTTTGATGTTCTTATGTGTCATTGACTCTTACTTATTTCGTATGTGATGTAATGTACTACTGTTTTTTATTCAACTTTTTCTTTCATTTTCTTTGAAGCTTTAAATAATGTTGACGAAGTTGTTGAGGTGAAATCTTAGTGATGTTAATGGAAGCACTAATTTCATGTATTTTTTTATTAGTTTTAAAAATATTTCGTAGTAGTTAATATAAATGTATTACAAATGTGATCATCCAGTGGACACTAAGCCTCATTTCCCTTGGTGTTTGCTTCATCATAGTACAGATGTCATCTTGTAGTATCTCTGTCTTTTTTTTAGTCGGTTGAGTTAGTCGACCATTCCCTCCTATAAATACCAATTCATTCTTTTGTAACTTAACATAATAATAAGATCAGTTTTTACCTCTCTCACTCTCATCTCACGACTATCTCTCTCTTTTATTATCAAACAACAAAAATAATATAATATATACTTAATATATAGTTCTCCATATATATATTTTATAACATGTTATCAGTACTAAATTCTGATTCAATATCAAACAAGATTATACCGTTATCATTTCAAATCTGACAAAGCTCAAATAAATACCTTGGATATTATGGGAAATAATTATATGACTCGGGTAGTGGGTACAAAGATGCACCTGAGAGGAAACGGGCTATTGGAAACCAACGATAATACAAAAACGGTGTCGGATGAGAAAAAGGCTAAAGCCATGATATTTTTACGACACCACATACATGATGGTTTAAAAGATGAATATATTACGAAAGAGGATCCTTTGGACCTCTGGCAATCTTTAAAGAGAGGTTCGATCACCAGAAATATGTGATCTTACCGAAAGCTAAACACGAGTGAATCCATCTCCGGTTCCAGAACTATAAAAGTGCTAGTGAGTTTAATTCTCCTATATTCGAAATTACATCT